GTTGTCCTTCTTGTCTTCATCGCAAGGAATCGATTTTAATTGAAAGGTCCCGCTATCTATACCCTTCGAAGACTGAGAGCAACCTCCAAAGACAAGAACATATGGAGCATAGAGAGCAGCTCCAACTAATCAATGTATTTGACCTAAATACGGCTTCTGAACAATTGTGCATGTTCTGTAGAAGATATTTGGCCCAAAAATAAATATTTACAACTGCATTGTGTGCATTACAATGCACAATTTAAATCAGCCAATAAATTAATAATGATAAAAATTTATCAACTGCCACTCATACTATAGCCTTCGCAAAATTTTCCAAGATGGAATTTTCTTAAATACTACTTACAGTATGTGTAATATGAGGTAAATTTTAATAAATAAAACAACAAAAACATCGGGTTCAACTTGTAATGTGCTACTTATCAAAAAATATAAGACCAATATTAGAGTGGTCCGAAAAAACAGCATTTTTGAACCACTTCACCGATTTTTTGGATCAAAAAGTCAAATGAAAGATTATTGAATCTAGTTTTTAGGGAAAATATAACTATGAACTTTAATCGTAGTTTTACATTTAAAACATTGCTTGTAATCGATTCTCATAATTTTCATGGTCTCGGAATCATAGGCACTATTGCATGTAATAAAACCAAAGTAGGTTTTTTCCCTCCATATGCTTAAACTAAGATTTTCCCAAATGTTTAATAAATTCCATAAAAATAGCGTCTTGGAGAATTTTTCGAAGGGAAAAAATTGGAAATATGATGATTTTTTGGCCCTCACTAACACGAAAGTTTGCCTCTCACATTTTTTTCAACTGAATTTCTTAAAAAGATGTATGAAGTTTTTGTAGATATTGATTAATTACAAATTTTGTGAAAAACTCAAATCTGCATCTCTGCAGAGCCCACAATTGCCTGTAGACTTCTTCAGTGCCATGTACTCAATCATCACTACTAAGAATTTAAGTCGTAGAGATACTATATTATTAAAGTTTAAGGCTGATTAAGCAATCGTTGAGTGTATTCGTAATTGTTTGTAGCAATGTGAGTTTTTCCTTGATTTTTTTCCGTCGATTTTGTTTTGCGTGCTGAGTACCAATGCAACCGACCCCAGGGAGGCAGCTCCCACACCTGGACCCTACCTATCGACCCATCAACTCATGTACCATGTACCAACGGCTTTACTTCCCTTCCGAAGGAAGGCTGGATCAGAGATGTTATGCCTAAGAATATCCCGGCGGCGCCGACTAGGGTTAAACCCAGGCCTGCTGGGGTGATAAGCAATCACGCTTACCACTACACCACCGGTGCCACTGGAATTTGAGTTGAAAAATCAATATTTTTTATGGCGTGGATTATGTTTCTTTGGGCAAACAAACTTTTGCATAAATAAATTAATAAATTATCCATAAGAAATAAAAATTCTCATTAAAAAAACTTCGAAATGATCCATAAAACTTCGGTGAGAATCCCTTAAAAAGTATGGAGGATCCATAAAAATTGTCGTTAAGATCCACATATTATGTAAAATTTAGCAACATAATTGTTCAAATGTACCGCTAAATTTCTAAAGAGTGAGCATTTAAATTGTACGAATTACTCATACATATATTGCGAATGATCCATAGAACGTTCACAATGAACCATAACGTAATGTAGATCCATAGAAAATCAAGTTTGCGCGCTAAAAATATAGTCATGATCCAAAAAATGGGATTCGAACCACAATATTATGCTCAGTAAGCAAAATCGGTCACTGCTAAGCCACCGAGCTCCTTTTCTTTTTTATCATCATAACAAACCATTACAACTAACGATTGGTAAAGCCTGGCAACATGAAACTATTCAAGTGGATTTTTCCCAGGTACCCATCACATTATTTCAAGGTTGTATATAACCAGAAAAATTCGATAAAACATGGTTGATATCAGCAATAGATGTCGTTGGGTAAAAAAGTTATGGCTTTTTTTTAATGCAGCAAACCGGAAAATCTCAATGAAAAAAAAATCTAAATTTAAAACATGGTTTTTCTCCAAAATTGCATTAAATTGTCAAGTGATTTTCCATAATTTAAATAAATTTTTGAAGTCCAAATTTTGTCGCAGGATTTGGAATTTTGAACACTACAGGGTGAGTGGGTAATTGGATCGAATGTCATAGTAATACATTGATAGAATAAACTCATAAATTCTGATAATTAGGAAAAAAATAGCACTATCTTCTAAAATTCTATTCTGCTTAGGACTTTAGAGATCGCGGATAAAGAATTTTTTTGAAAATCACAAGAGACAATGTTCAAGATGTGGAGGCTAACCAGTTTTTACATAACTAAAATTTTCAAAAATTCAGACTTTAAAAATTCCTCAAATAAAAAAAAAACAAAGACCTCAGATAGAATACTCTTGGACTAAAATTAAACTTAAACATTTTAACACCTAACACTTAAATTTTGAAGAAATGTCTAGAGAATTTAATTCAGAATGTCAGCTAAGGTGAGAATTTTAATCCGCTACAATTGTCTCTCTCTACTAGAGAGTCTCTAGAATGCTTAAAGAATTCAGAGGACAATCCCAAAGAAATGTGAAAATAAGCTGCATGTAATTTTGTAAAGCATTTCATGAAAACTGTAGTATGGGTGAATCCCAAAAGTAGTAAAAAGGAGATTTTTTTAAGATTATGACCAGAAGTGCAGAGAATTTTGAAGGATTTTCAGGTAGCATTCTAAAAGAATTCGGAATGAGAATTCAAAGTGAATTAACTTTAGCAAAAACTTAATTATAATATGGAAACAATTCGTAATCTACTCCTAATGATCACTCTGAAACTAGAAAATCTCTTAAATGTTAATCAATCATTCAATTAATTCAAAACAATTAAAAAAAAAAACGTTATCGAACTTCAAGCTTAAGATAGTTTTAAGGAAATCGCTACGAGAATTCATAAGGATTTTGAATCAATTTAAAGAGATTTTCAAAAGAGGAGATTTCACAGTGAATTTAGATTTATATTTCCTCAACATTCTGAATAGCATTCCAGAACATTCTGACATAAAACAACATTTAGGGATTGCAAAAGTTGACAAAGAACTACATGTTCAAGGCTTATATGCTACTTAAGATTCTAACTTTAATCATTTATAATCAGTTCAACAGAAGATCTGAATTGAATTCCTAAGTGATTCAAAATAGATTTGATGGGAATCTTTAAAAAATGAATAGCAGGTGAATTTAAAGGGAAGTTTACCGCCCAAGAATATTTTTTTCGGCACATTTTTATTTTTTCTAAAAATGTTGGGAAAAATTATCAAAAATTCAAGAAAATATTTGTTTTCCTTAGATTTCTCTGAAAATTTACATAATTTTTTTTTTTATCTCATCATGAAAAAAATGTGACCCTTAGCAAAACCGAAAAGTTGTTGTTTTGTGGTTTTTTGATGATGACTTCTACTTTTTTTTTGCATCTGCATTTTCCTTGAAAAATGTGTTCTTTTTAGATTTTTGATGTATTTTTCTAATATTTTTAGAAAAATCAAAACGTAATTATTTTTTTCAGAGCGATGAACTTCCCCTTAAGGAGGATTTTAAGATAATTCTATGAGAATTCAAAAATAATTAGGGTTTTTTTTCCTCTGTTCGGGACATAACACCACTGCGACCAGTAATTTGATCTATTGTAGTATATCCGTGTCCTTAGTTTAGTGCTATTGAGAAATGATGAAGTATTCGGTTTTGATACAGTTGTCATTCTTGCCTTCATCGCACGCAATCGATTCTAACTGAAAGGTTCCGCTATTTATACCCTTCGGAGTGTTGAAACACCCTCCAAAGGCGCGCCCCTTTGTCAGTCAAAATTGGATTCCTTAGCAAAAAAAACAAGACATGACACCGATAATGACCATGCATCAGAACCCTAGTCTTAACCACTTCAAACTAGGAAACAACGAATAGAAGATTAGGAATCACATAGGTGAAGACTAACTAACTCATTTTTTCCTTGTTTCAAGATCATCCTCGGTCCACGCAACCCGAGGACTTATCACTATCAACAAGGCATAAAAAGTAACAAGGACTAAGATGTGTTCCTTTGATTACTGAAAAAAACCTGTTCCCCTAGTTTGAAGAAGTCAGGACTAGGAATCGGTGGTAGATCTTACATCCCGTAACGTACCACGAAAAGGTGATCTACCCACGTTACGGGGCGATAATTAGGGTTAATGGCGGCTTGAGCACCCATTGACTGTTTTCGGCAACAAAAATTTAAACGATAATTTAACTGAATTTTCCCATCAACACATTTCACTGAATGTATTCTACCGATTCCTTAGGCTATGCGCTCCAATCTGATAAAAATGTTACAGCTGAGCAATCTTTTTATGCCAGAATTTTCTTATCATAAAATATACGCTCTACAAAATGCCACTACCACTCTCTTATAAGAAAACGAAAAAAAAAGTCTGTAAATCTTACGTAGTAAGTGCATGGGTCCTTAAGAAATTGGCTCATTCGACAGAGCTGCCCGATAGAGTTGACTTCAGTTTGTTCTACAGTTGGAATTTGATTTTTTTTTTTTTTTGCTGAATTCCGTTAACAACTGTTTACTTTACGTGAATTACACAAGAAGAAATGTAATTGAATAAAATTGTTATTTTCACCAATGTCACAAATCCTCACATATTCTGTATCATTGTGAAAACGTCATTTAAAATAATCACCGCTCGATCAACCACCTTTCCAGCCAATCTCCATAAAGTCTGTTCGTTCAACAAACAATAATTTGGCATTTGTATCTCTTTTCGCCATACAGCACCACCAGCTCATCAGCATCAACATCGCAGTCCATTGCAGAGGTGGTAATCAAATTAAAATGCGACAAATTGCGAAAACCGATGCATTAATCATGTGGAGCGTTAAATCAATATCTAATTACGAGTGAAAACAAAAGCTGAGGAGATAAAAATTAATAATAAATTGAGCCCAACCGTTTCCGCGGTTCCAAATCTGCCTGGGTCCCCGGGAATGGTGAGTGATTGTGCCCCGGAGTGCACCTGAAATGAAAATAATTAAAAATTCAAATTTTACGAGCATCCGTGATGAATATTCATGATGAGCCAGCCTGCTGCTGGGACCGATTGCCGGCCTCTACCCGTGGTGAAGTGCACCTGATGGATTATCGTTAAAAAGCTCGACCACTTGATGCAATAGTGGAATTAACGTTTTCCCCCCCTGCGCAAACGCGTTCAACGAGAAAGTGGGTGAAAGCCCACCGAGCAGTAATGGACGAAATCTCGCGTAGTTCCGCTTCCGTTGTCCTCCCAAACGTCATCGTCGACGTCGAGTGAATGAATGATGATGATACTGATGCTCACTCTGGCTCAGACGCTGGAACATGGACGCGACAGTTGAAATGATTGATGAAGCAAAATACGCTACGCTGTGCAAATAACGAAACAAATAATTATAAATTTATGCTGAAATTAATTTGATTGTGTCTGTGGAGCCTATCGCTCGTCGTCGTTGTCGTCGGTGTATTTGTGCAATTAGTGCCTGTGCGCGTACACTCGATGGTGCGAAGTCGTCTGTAATTCTCTTTCAACTCCGACTGCTGTCCACTGCTGCTACTTAAATAATGCTCTGAAAATCGCAAGTGATTAATAAGTGACACTCGTGCGTCTCGTGAAATCTAGTGAAATTCAATTCGCGCCAATCTCAGTGCTCGCACTCTGAAAATGACCTCCCACTGGAATATCTTCCCGCTGCTGCTTCAGGTGCTGAGCGTGGTTCAGCTCTCGCATGGATACTTTGACCTGTTTCTCAACCACTCGGAAGTAATAAAACTAATGGGTAAGTAAGCTTTCGTCTTTCTTTCCACATCCCTTGGGTTTGGCTGGTGTTTTTCCCCTTTCCGTGCTGCCAGACATTATCGTGGGAGGGAGAAGGTACATGCAACAGTTTATGTGCAGTTGAAGCCATGTGGGTGACAGGTGTAATCAATTGGAAGTTATGGTCCTGGCTGGGCTAATGGGCCTCGATCTGGAAGTATGGGTAGCACTGCGGCAGCATGAACAGTGAATTACTAAGGAAGGATTTTACTCCTTGAAGATGATTGGTAACGCGTAGAGTAAAATGCATTGTGGGAGTTAAACACTCAATGGGATATGAGTTACTTGGTCAAATCATTCGAGCAGTTTTAAATTACTGAATAATTGGGGAGAACTTGAATGAATTAACTCTAACATTTCGGTTTTTTTTGCGTTTCCACAGAGTGAGCACGATTATTTGCACACAGAAGAAGTCTTGTTAACAGATTAGCTATTAATGATTTTTTTTTTTTGTTAAACTGCCAGGGAATCATTTCTTTTTCTATTCACTAAAAAAATAAAGGGTTGTGTCCTAGACACGAACGCAGTATGACGTAGAACTGCATTTTTGACTATTATACTTTATCTTAAATTTTTCGGTTATGATTCAATTCGCGACAATTCACGTTAGCATAATCAGAGCACCGTTCGTATTACGCATGAGATAATGTATTTAAATTGAATGTAATGGTTAAGAAATGCCAGAATTTTCCCTACATAACTACATTGGGTTGATCAATGTTGAGCTATTTTGCTGTGATCAAATTCGACATCGACTACAATAGGAACTGACACTATTTCGTCACACATTTTTTGTTGATTTGCACCTCAGTATAGTACTCAAAAACGCCATGCATGTTGTGGGATTTTTTTTCTGTGTTGGGGACATAATACCACCGCGACCATAACTTTGATCTATTGTGGTGTATCCTCTTTTGATTTTGCCGTAACGCAATTGCAAGATGCTATTTATATGAGCAACCACCACTACTGTTGTTGGCAATTATCCCAAACAGGTAATGCATTCCTTATGAAATGTATAACTTGATTGGGAGCAAATTTTTAGAGCTCTCACTCTCTAGTTTACAAAAACGGCATCTGTCTTCATCAACTTTTCCGATAAGTTTAAGGTGATATTTACTAGGACAGTGTCCTGTAATCAAACCAGTATATGTACTCAAATCGTGTTTCGATAAGGTCAGCAGTTTTTGTGTGTGCAAAGCGTTGGGCTCTATGAAACGTTTTGATTGCCGAGCGTTTAAGGTATTATTCCAGTTGCACTGTACCTTTATTCTTTCGCAGTTATTGAACTCCATTTTAAGAGCACAAAAAGATAATCCTAAAAATGGTTCAGGGCCAATAAATTGCATTGATGATCCCACTTTAGCCAATTGATCAGCTTTTTCGTTCCCTTCGATTCCGCAATGACCAGGAACCCAGTATAGGTTAACCTTATTACAGTAGGACAAATGCTGCAATAGCTTAGAGCATTCCCAAACCAGTTTTGAAGTGCAAGTTTTGGTTTTTAGAGCATTCAACGCTGCTTGGCTATCTGAACAAATACATATGTTTGCATTTTTATAATTTCTTTTTAAGCAAATCGTGGCACATTCTAGGATGGCATATATTTCAGCTTGAAATACTGTTGGCCATTTTCCCATCGGCACCGATAGGCTGATCCCAGGACCACTTATTCCAGCCCCAACCATATTATCTTGTTTCGATCCATCCGTATAGAATACTATTGACCCAGGACCAAAAGATGGCTCTCCTGTATTCCAATCATAACGAGTCACTTCAGGAACTTTGAATTGGTGATTGAAGTTGTTACGATTTAACATCCAGTCTTCATTCATTAAAATTAGTGGATTTATTTGAAACTTTTTTAAAATGCTCAGATGTCCAATATGATCTCCATCAAAGAAATTCATGGACCGTTTGAGCATCAGAGCACTTTTCATTGCATCCATTTGAATAAATTGATGTAAAGGAAGAATATTGAGTAGAGCATCTAATGCCTTCGAAGGAGTACTACGCATTGCTCCAGTAATGGAAAGAGTAGCAAGTCTTTGTAACTTGTTCAATTTAACTTGTGCCGTTTGTTGTCTGGTTTTCGGCCACCAGATTAGTGATGCATAAGTGATTCTGGGTTTAACAATAGCCGAGTAGATCCAATGTATCATCTTCGGCTTTAGACCCCATTTTTTACCAAATGATCTTTTACAGACCCAAAAAAGCATTTGTTGTTTTTTCTATTTGTTGTTTCATATGTCTGTTCAAGCAGAGTTTACTATCTAGGATTACTCCCAAATACTTAACTTCTGACGACAGTGATAATTTAACATCTCCTAGTTTAAGATCAGTGGTAGAGACTCTACGTCTTTTGGTAAAGGGTACAATTGATGTTTTCGCAGGATTTATGTTCAGTCCTTCTTGTGTGCACCATGATAGTGTGAATTTTAATGCTTTTTGCATTCTATCAAATACAATTTTATCAAATTTTCCGCGAACTATAATAACAATGTCGTCAGCAAATCCGATTACTTCAAATCCTTGATGCTTTAACTTTAAAAGAAGATCATCAACTACCAGAGACCACAGAAGTTGAGAAAGAACTCCTCCTTGGGGACAGCCTTTTACAGCTGTTACTTTTACTAGTGCATCTCCAAGATTAGCTGATATTTCTCTTTTGGATAGCATCTCCACAATCCATTTAATTATGTTTTCATTAAAGCCACGATTTCTCATGGCGTTTATCATTGACGAAAAAGACGCATTGTCAAATGCACCTTCAATATCCAGAAACGCTGCTAATAGAATTTCCTTTGCTGTGAAGGTTTTTTTCTGTTTTAGTAACTAGCATATGAAGAGCTGTTATGGTGGATTTGCCTGACTGATAGGCGACTTGGGCTCTACATAGTGGGTTACCATGAAAAACATCTGATTTGACATATTCATCTATAAGTTTTTCTATTAACTTCAAAAATATTTAAAGGAATACGGTACGGATGGGGCGGACAGGAAATAACCAGAACAACACTTAACAATGAACAAGTTTTATTAACGATACAGTTATCTTGGTATGACTGCTCTCTTCAGTGTCTTGATATGGAATAACGCTAGAAAATTGATTGGAGTGTTCAAGACAGCAATCCAACGCCTACTTTGTTAACACCCCCTCTCGTTTGGGTACTCCTAGCTTCGTCCTTAATTCCTCGAATCGGCCAGCGTCCAAGGACTTGGTAAAGAAGTCAGCTAATTGGTTCTCACTTGCAATTGGTTCTATCAGCAGCTTCCCAGCGGTGACAAGATCCCGAAGAAAATGATGTTTGATATCAATATGCTTCACTCTCTTGCTCTCCACGTTCTTAGCCATGCCGATGCACCCACGATTGTCTTCATATATGGCAACTGGCTCGATCTGCTTTTCACCCAAATCGCCTAGGACACCAATCAACCATATTGCTTCCGATGCTGCAGCGCTTAACGCCACATACTCTGCTTCACTTGATGTAGTGGCGACCGTCGTTTGTTTTTTACTAGACCAGGCAACAGTCGATCCAAACACCTGGAAGACAAATCCGCTCACTGACTTCCTGTCCTCGGTATCGGTAGCCCAGTCTGCATCCGCGAACCCAACTAGTGGTTTTGCTTGAACATCCCGGGTTAAAGTCAAGCAATGATCCATCGTCCCTCTCAGGTAACGCACTACTCGCTTGAGCGCGGTCCAGTGCTGTTGTCCGGGTTGAGCTTGGAATCTCCCCAGGTACCCGACAGGATAGCAAATGTCCGATCTCGTTGATACCATCACGTACATTAAACTTCCCAGTAGCTCACGATACGGTACTCCATTAGCTTCGGAAACTTGACGATAAAGCTGCAACCCTTTCTCCATCGGGGTCCTTGTAGGATTGCATTCCAACATGCCAAACTTCTGGAAGATCTTTTCTAGGCTTGCTTGTTGAGACAGCATCATCTTTCCGTCTTGTCGATTGTAGCGTATCTTCATGCCAAGGAAATGGCTAAGCTCTCCACAGTCGGTCATGGCGAACATCCGGGATAATTCGTTCTTCAATTTCAAAATTGTTGACAGCTTCGCTCCCGCTATGAGAAGGTCATCAACATATAGTACGACGAAAATGGCATCTTCCCCCCTCTCGTCGGTACGGGTGTACAGGCAATAATCGTGCTTGGAACGAATAAAACCTAACTTCAGCAGCGCTTGATTGAACTTCTCGTTCCAGCAGCGAGGGGACTGTTTCAAGCCATACATACTCTTTTTCAATTTGCACACCGTGCCAGCTCTCGCCTTGACGCCGTTCGGAACCGCCATGAATATTTTCTCTTGCAGCTCACCGTGAAGAAACGCCGTCTTCACATCCATTTGGTGGAAATGGTACCCTTTTTGAACACCGACAGCCAGCACAATACGGATTGTCGTCAGCTTCGCCACAGGTGCGTAGGTTTCGTTGTAGTCCAAACCAGCTTTCTGCAAGAAACCTTTCACGACCAACCTTGCTTTATAGCGCACAGGGTTTCCTTCTTCATCCTCTTTCATGCGGAAGATCCACTTTGACTGCAGCGGTTTGACGCCGGTTGGGCATGGCACCAATTCCCATACCTTGTTGGCCTCCAGGGATTTCAGTTCTTCATCGATTTTTGGTCATTCCGCGCGTTGATTTCATCGTACGAATCCGGGAAATCTGGGAATGTTGAAATTTTTCCAGCAGACGTTGCTCTGAACCCAGTTAGAAAGTCAAGAAACTTACCTGGGAGCCTGCGCTCCCGTTCACCACGCCTAGTGTTTGACTCTGAACAGTCTTCACCTCTTGATTGTGAAGGGAGCGCCCCAGGTTTTTCAAGTTGCTCCTCAGGTTGTTCGTCTAGTTCAACCTGATCCTCGTCATCACTTAGCACAGGCATCGCGTCTTCGAACTCAACTTGCTGGTCATCTGGCTGCTCTTCCAATTCAGCTTGCTGGTC